ACACACACACACACACACACACACACACACACACACACACACACACACACACACACACTAACCCTGTTGTCTCCTCCCTAACCTCAGGACTCAGTCTGCCACACCCCTCCTCCTCCTCCTCCTCCTCCTCCTCCTCCTCCTTCTCCTCCTCCTCCTCCAACTCTTTTCTTTGGCCCCATGAAGAAACCATCATGAGCATGGCCGGCTCAACCTCCCAGGGGCCCCAGGGGCACAAATGTTTTGTGGGCCCCTGGTGACTTCCGCTGTGCTGTAGACTCAGATACAGATGTTTTCCATGGAAGTTAAAACAACCATACATTATACATGTACAGTTCAAGTACCTCAATGTACTTAGTTACTAAAAGCTTTAATGAGGTAATCAGGAAAACTCTAACAAAAGGAATAGGTCCTTTCCCATCACAGAGGAGTTCAACTCTCTGGGTTATTGTCGCAGTGAATCCATTCACACCAGAGACAGATGTGAGACAGATGTGAGACAGATGTGAGACAGATGTCTACTTTTGTTAGGATATGTCTGTCTTCATTTGTTGTGCCTGTGCACTTTACTGTTACTTTTGTTAGGAAATGTCTTGTCTTGTCTTCACTTTGATTCCTTTGTATGTCTGGTATATGTGAAGAAATTGACAATAAAGCTGACTTTGACTTTGACTTTGAAGCCAGATGTTAGTGGTTTACTGACCAGTGGAAAATGAGCTTTATTATTATTTAATTCGGAATAAAGTTGAAATTTCAGTCTCAGGACGTAACCAGGCCGAGGCAAACATGTGAAGATCTGTGATCGTCCAGGTTTTACTCATGTTGTGAGAATCTGTTCCCAACGTTGAGACGACTCGTCTTCCTCATGGACACAGAAATAACAGGAGTGAAGTTGTACTGACTCACCTCATTCTTCAGCCGGACGGACGAGTCCTGTTTTGAGACCAGCTCAGAGGAGAAGACATTTTCTACAACAAACAAACAACAAACAAACAAACAGCACAACATGAGCCTTTGTTGGACATGTTATCAAACAGCTAATAACATGTTGCTCACATGATCACCAGCTCTGATGATTAGCAACATACTGACAAACGAGGGCTAACACAGTTTGTTACAGTAAAACCACGTCAGCCAGGTTTCATCTTCAGACCGGTACAAACTTCTTCTCAGCTCGGTGGGACTCATGTTTCAGACTAAAACATCAGAAAAATACAAACTGTCCAGAGCGTTGGACAGCGTTACCTGTCCAAGGTGTGTCTGCCGGCTCGTTGCTAGGAGACGATGATGGACAGCTCATGATCATGTACTCAGCGTCTTCCACTGGAAACACAACAGACTTCATCAGTTTTAATACAAAATGGAACTTCAAGCTTCTTTTAGCACAGTTTAACTTTAATTATCGCTGTTAATATGTTATGTATAATTATTGTTACCTGGGGTGTCGGGTGTCTGCAGTTTGGACAGCAGCTCTGAGATGGACTTCTTCTGAGCCTGAGCGATGTAACTCAAGTTCTCTGAGTCCAGAACAGACAGGAAGGACTGCAGGTCCCAGATCAGCTTGGACAGCACTTAAGATAGAGGGACAGACAGACAGAGAGACAGAGAGACAGAGAGACAGAGGGACAGACAGAGGAACAGACAGACAGACAGACAAAGGCACAGACAGACAGAGAGACAGACAGACAGACAGACAGAAAGACAGAGAGACAGGGTTTAAAATACATTTGTGAAAAAAATGTAAAAGTGAATAAATGTGTGAATGGAGTGATGAGGTCAGACACAGTGTTAGATAATGAGTCTCTATATCAGACATATTCATGTCTTTATCTTTTGTGACCACTCGTTGTTTTCATTATTATTTTCCGTACATTTATTTTCTTTATTTTTCACTGAGTTAAATTAGAAACATAACAAAATAAACTTCGCTCCAGCGTTACTGTTTTATCCTGTTTATTTGTAAGTTTTTCGTGTTGTAAACCAGCTGGAAAACTGATCTGGGTTCAGTTTGTCGTCATCAGGTTGATAAAACATGAAGTCAGTCTGTGTCTCATGAAAGCAGCCGTTGTCTCTCTCTCTCTCTCTGTGTGTGAATGAATACTGACTGTGTCTCGGCCTCAAAAGAATAAAGAGCTGAAATCATTAAAACTCAGCGAAACAAAACGTCTCTCGGTTCATTTTATTATCACTGTCACACAGATAAAAAACACAAACCTTGTATTTTACAAACACACCAATGAAGGCGATCACATTTTTATTCATGTAGGTTAATTTTCAGATTCAGGAAACTATCACCTCAGCCATGATGTGACCTCAGATCAGATGTTTTTATGAGTTGATCAGTTGAGGCGTGAAACAGAACCTGCTCAGGTTTCCCATCACCAACTGTCCGACCTTCACGTTAACTGAAGGGACGACACACACACTGATAAGCTGCTAATAATTAACACAGAATAACGACTCAGTGTGAAGTACTGTGTTGTTACGTCATTTAAAAAGTCAAGGTTCCTACACAATAACTGGGAAACAGGAAGTATTTTGGAAACTGTACTGAATAAACAGGGACACCACAGGAACCACTTTACAGACCCTCAAATATAATAAGTGGAACTGTCCTCAATGATCTATAGAACCTCCTCAATGGCTCAAAGATCCAATAAAGAAAAACAAAAGGACCAGGAGTGACCTCTCGACCCCCCACAATGATCCTTACAGAACCCCCCCCAGACCTCCTCTGGACCCTCTTAGAAGACCACCCACATGAGCGCTAGAACCACTCAAACCACCTCTAGAATTACGTGCATGTAATACAACTTCCCAGACCATTAGAACTTTATCAAGGAACACAAGAACCTCTTATGTGACCATCAGAACCTATTGGAAGTCTAAAACCATTTCCAGAACCCCCAGAACCTCTCTTCACCCACTAGAACCTCCTCGAAAACATCCAGAACCTCTGACATGACCATTTGAACCACCCAATCCACCTCTGGAACCACTTACATTTCCACTTAAAGGTGTAATGGACAATTATTAGAACCTCCTCGAGACCATCAGGACGTCATCAGGGAAAACCAGAGCCTCCTGACAGGCTCCTACTAACTCCTCCATCTGTGCAGCATTTTGTTTCTCTGAGTAAATGATGATTCTATAGTTCATGTGTTTTGAAGTCGTGTCATTTTAAAAATAGTGATGACACGAACATGTCGTGTTGTTTTCTGTTCAGTGAATGAGTCTGGAATCAGAGGGAGGATTTAACTGAAGCTCCATTCACTCGGACAGACTGAGTCCATTCACACTCGGAGCTGAGTGGGACGACGAGGTCAAACGTTTCTCATTAACTCTTCTCTGCAGATTTAAAGGATCCTGACGCTCTGCTTATCAAGACGCTGCTGCTTTAAACACCGAGCTGCACATACCTAACACGCCCACCACACGTCAACAACAACACTGTGCCGTCGAGACAACACGGAGACAAGATCACAATCACAAGACGACAGAGACCAGAGACACGAAGACAAAGACAAGAAGACAGAGACTAAAGACAAGAGACAAGACGACAGAGACTAAAGACAAGAGACAAGACGACAGAGACTATAGAAAAGAGACAAGAAGACAGAGACAAGAAGACAGAGACTAAAGACAGGAGACAAGAGACAAGAAGACAGAAACAAAAAAAAGAGACAAAAGACAGAGACTAAAGTCAAGAGACAAGAAAACAGAGACTAGAGAAAAGAGACTATAGAAAAGAGACAAGAAGACAAAGACAAGAAGACAGAGACTANGACAGAGACTATAGAAAAGAGACTATAGAAAAGAGACAAGAAGACAAAGACAAGAAGACAGAGACTAAAGAAAAGAGACTATAGAAAAGAGACAAATAGACAGAGACTATAGAAAAGAGACAAGAAGACAGAGATGACAGAGACGAGACATCAGACGGCCAGAGGCATGAAGCGTTTAAGCTCCTCCTTCTTATCTGATCAACATCACTTCCTGTCTGTGGCTTTGATGTTGGAGAAAACAGTGAATCAGGTCCAGTGTTGATTCAATAAACAACAAACAAATAAACAATGAATTCAGTTTGTGCTGTGAAATGTTCTTGTTGTTGTTTACATCACATTAAACAACAACAGTCACATATTTTCAAATTAAGAGTCTTTGAAGGGACAGACTGTGTTTATGTGAATGAAGCTGCTTGAAAAGAAAGTGTGTGTGTGTGTGTGTGTGTGTGTGTGTGTGTGTGTGTGTGTGTGTGTGTGTTTTAGTGACATGAGCTGTTTTACCATTAAACCTCAACCCTCAAATTAGATGAACGATGGCATTCCACCATACCTCCTACCACAGTGTGTGTGTGTGTGTGTGTGTGTGTGTGTGTGTGTGTGTGTGTGTGTGTGTGTGTGTGTGTGTGTTGGGTGTGGAGCAGATTTCTCTTTCATCTTCTGCTCGTTAAATATAGACGAGAAGAAACATTTATGTAACTGAGTTACTGTTTCCTCAAACTGAGCTTCTCATCCAATCAGCAGAAGCTTGTCATTGTTACTGACTCGTCTTCAGCTGAAAAGAACTCGTACGTCGTTATCACGTATGAAAGATGAACAGCTGGATGAGAAAATCCTGAAGATGAATCACAAGCTTCACATTTTATGTTGAAGATCTCTGAAGGTGCAGCAGTGAAATGAGCTCAGGCTTGAATCAGTCAGGAAACAGTTGTTCAGAAGCTCATTGAATCGTAGAGGTCACGAAGCATCGCTGAATGAATCGATCATTCAGGTTTAAGTTTGAAGCTCGTTGTGTTGTTAAATCTGGGTTCAGGTCCTGGATGGACGAGGGGACAACGGGCCCCTGGTCACAGACAAGTAAAAGGCCCCCAAGCTCCTCCGGGACCCAACACTGCATCATCTATCCAGGGGCCCTCGGATTCCCTGGACCTGCTCATGTTCAGTGTGTCCAGGTCACGTTAACGTTTATATCATATTACTAAGATTTATTGTTGTTTTGATTTTGTTTGTCCGTGTTTGTACGAGTCGTCGTTGTTGAATTTGATCCTGATTTGTTTCTATTGAGGATATAAATGGTGTCCGGTCATGTGAGGTTATTACAGGACAAGTTTTTATTTCTTCTGCTTGGTTAAGTGACAAAGTGAGTCTGTAAGGTAATAAATTATGCAGCGGTTGTTTGTGTCGTCAACAAATAATCAATAAAATAAAAGGAACAAACATGAATGAATGCTTTTCTATATTTGTTATTTGTGAAAAGGTCTTAAATGTAGATTTTAAGACAGAAACAACATTGAACTAAAACTAACGGCAGTCGTCACACACACACACACACACACACACACACACACACACACACACACACTGAGATCTACTGAATCTAAACAGTCTATTAGCTCAGTCTCTTGAGAGCATCAGGAGGAGGAAGTGATGATGAGGAGGAGGAGGAGGAGGAGGAGGAAGAGCACAGACGAGTGTTTCCGGTGTGTCGTTGCAGTTTACAGTTTACAAATCATCAGACACACCTGGTATTTACATGAGTAACTTTGATCTGTGTATTTTAGATCAGAGTGAGACCTCTCAACTTATTCACCTACTCTGAAAATTCATCTTCTCAAAATCAAAACTTTAAATACTAAAAAATAAAAGTACTCAGTGCAGAACGAACCACTTCGGAGTAAAGTGTTGTATTATTAATTGATAATAAGATTAACGTTTGTGTGTTTGTGTTAATATCATTTATATTCTCCTCAGTCTGTGAAACTACATCTTTAATCATATTTATATTTAATCATTGAAAGATTCAAAATAAAAAGTCACTGAAGTTTTCAGGAGCAGCAAGATAAAGTGACATCAACTACAAACACTCAGAGTAAAGTAAAAGTACCACTTAAATGGAGTAATGACAGTGGGTGGATAATTAATACTCCAGCTGGAATAAAAACCTTTAAAACGGCTCAAAAATCAAATGTGACATTTGTGTTTTCACATGTGAAGTTTGGAATGTGATTTTTCTTCATATGGAAGATTTGGATGATTTTTTTATGATGTGTGAGTATTTGGGTCGTGACAGGAGCTCGGTACCTTTCTGTTTGTCCATGTCTGTCGCTCGTCTCAGTCGCTGCTGATCTTCAGGCTCATAACTCAGATCTGCTCCGTCAAACTCCCAGAGGTCTGACAGGCCACACATGAGGGAGTGAGAGAGGGAGGAGAGGGAGGACGGACCAACACACTCATTATGTATGTATGGAGGGAGGAAGGGAGGGAGGGAGGAAGGGAGAGAAGAGAGGGAGGACGGACCAACACACTCATTATGTATGGAGGAAGGGAGGGAGGGAGGGAGGGAGGAAGGGAGAGAAGAGAGGGAGGACGGACCAACACACTCATTATGTATGGAGGAAGGGAGGGAGGGAGGGAGGGAGGGAGGGAGGGAGGGAGGGAGGGAGGGAGGGAGGGAGGGAGGGAGGGAGGGAGGGAGGAAGGGAGGGAAGAGAGGGAGGACGGACCAACACACTCATTATGTATGGAGGGAGGGAGGGAGGGAGGGAGGAAGGGAGAGAAGAGAGGGAGGACGGACCAACACACTCATTATGTATGGAGGGAGGGAGGGAGGGAGGGGGAGTGTTTTAACCAAAAGTGAACTTTGGTGTAAACTGGTGTTTTTCTGTGATGAAGAATTTTGTCGACATTATGGGAAAATTAAATAATATAACATAAAATAGTAAATAGTAAATGTTTAAAACTCCATGTCCAGTCTGCTAACATGGAGGAGGAGGAGAGATGTATGACCTAAATACTGCAGCCAGACACCAGGGGGCGATCAATATGTCTAAAAACTGTGTTCAGTTTCAGTTTCTCTCTTCGAGGACGTGAACCGAGCAGATTGAGAAGTTCACTTCCTGGTTCCTCTCTCACCATGTTGCAGCCGACCAATCAGAGCGTGGAGGGGGCGTGGAGGGGGCGTGACTTAAACAGTAGTTGATCATGTGAAGTCGGTGAAAAAAATGAAGTTTAACACTTTCTGCTCAAAGCAAAGAGAAACACTCTTTATTGTAACTCATGTTATTCACTCACGTCACCATTCACCTGTTACATCACCTGCATCCAGATGTGACAACAGCTGCAGTTATTCATGACATCATCATCCAGTGGTTCAGACCGCTGCAGTCCGACCTCTGACTATGTAACTGCCAGTGTCGTTATATCATCCATTTAAATAAAGGTTCAACAAAAGTCTGACATGGTCATGGTGACATCATGCATACAGCAGTTACATCAGAGACTCGGTGGCGTCACATTTGAAAATAATTCAATAACAACAGAATAAATCACCTCAAAATGTACAAAAAGAAATAAAAACAAACATGGAACAATCTTTGTGTCGTCATGGTGTTAGTCACAGCAACCCACTTCCTGTCTCGAATGAAAACTCAACCAATCAGAACAAAGCGTGAATCCTCTCAGTATCATCAAAGAGAAAGAACAAAGTCAATCATCTCGAGACGTAAAGTGACAAATGTGCGTTCACTCCAGAAACAAACTTCACTTCTTTTTTTTCTGCTTTTCAGTCTTTTTGTTCCACAGAAGCAGGAAACATGTGGAGGCGTGGTGGCGATGCGGCGTGGCGGTGAGGCAGACGTGGCAATGACTGTTACGGGACGACGCCATGACAGTGATTCTGCAGCGAGAGCCAGCTCATGACTCATTTTAGCTTCAATTAATCACAACAAAACACTGAGTGTAATTAACTGGAAACATGACGTCATCAGATCAGGAAGGACAGGAAGTACCAACGCTGCACTGCCAAAATAAAAGTCCTGCATTTAAAATGCTAAAAGACATGGAAAATATATTCAGTACCAAAAGTCTAATAATTCCAGGAAATAGTTATTCAGTTTAAATCGTTAGATCTTAAATATGTTTTATATGACGGCAGCTGATGATTGTTCAAGAGAAAAATCATCACAGTATAAAAATAAGTGAAACTTTCGCAAACTCAGAATTATTGCACAAAAAATCTAAATGATTAAACTCCGTAAAAGAAAAAGCTGAAAATCTGAGAATCTGAAGCCGAAAAAGTTTGAAATTTTCTGTCGACTAATTGATGAATCGTTTCAGCTCGACTTGTATTTACAGTTAAATTTGTAAAGTAATTAAAAAAGGCAAATTTGTATGAAACCTTCAGTGAACAAGTGCAGACGGACGTTGGAAACGTTTTCATTTGACCTGCGAGTCTCTGATTTGATGAATGTGACGAGAACCAGAGGAATAAATGTTTCAAAATGGCCGATCTGACGTCTCATTGGTTCTCAGTCATTTAATCCTCCATGTTTCTCACGAGGTCACGACTCGACGTCTGGGCTGATTCTGTTCAACGTGTTGAACGAGTTGAAGAATCATCAGAGTTTTTCATGCAGCTTCAGATTAAACGTGAAGAGATCAGATCTGATGCTGGCGGACGTCAGGACGTTAAATAAAAGTTCAAGTGCTTCACTCTGGTTAATTTCCCATCATTCCTTGTGTCGTCATTTGGTTCCGAAAAGGAAATGCTTTGTGTCTTTTACGGTGAAAAAACATATATTTTTTGTCAACATTCAGGATTTAACATGTTAGATTTGTTCGGTTTAAAAAACACGTCATTTATCTACGTGGTTAAAAAACAGCTGCACATCATTTGGTCACTAAGCAACAGTAAATGTTTACAACCTGCTGATTGGACGAACCAGAGCTGCGAAGAGACGGAGTTGGGTAGGTTCTGTGTAGGTTCTGTGTAGG